TCGATTGCTTTTGTAATACATATATAGGTACTACATGTGGACCTCTTTCAGATTTGTTAATTTCATTGTGAAATCTTCATTTATTTAATTTTGATGATTATTTTTGTCATTTTTTGGTGAAAAGTGATATTTTTGACTTCTTGTTGAAAACCGCAAGTCCGATTGCTTTTATATTACATATATACGTACTACGTGTGGACTTCTTTCAGATTTGTCCCATTGCTTTTATATATATATTGTTCATTTTCTAATGATATCTTCAGTTCTTTAATTGTAATGTGCATTGCTAACAGTAGAGCTATCTCAGCCGAGAGGCTGCTTGTTTAAAATTAACGATGATCCCACGAAGCATCCACCTTTGAAAAAAAACAGACTTCCACTGCCGAAACCTTCAACAATCCTAATTATTCTATCTGTTTCTCTTCCAGTACGATGGTTATACTTCTTGTCCACTTATCACCCAGTATGGCAAACTTATATTAGCTGAGTTCGGATACAACGCCGAGGTGTTGGAAACGTTTCCGATAATTGATCAAGGAAAAGAAAGTCGAATAATGTACATTATGAAGACTGATATGATGCCAATGATTTACTGGCAAGGACTACTTAAGTGAGTAGAAATGATAAAAATGAAGGCTACTTAAGTGAGTAGAAAAGATAAAAATGAAGGCTACTTAAGTGAGTAGAAATAATAGAGATGAAGGCTACTTAAGTGAGTAGAATTATAGAGATGAAGGCTACTTAAGTGAGTAGAAATGATAGAGATGAGGGCTTCTTAAGTGAGTAGAAATAATAGAGATGAGCTACTTAAGTGAGTAGAAATAATAGAGATGAGCTACTTAAGTGAGTAGAAATAATAGAGATGAGCTACTTAAGTGAGTAGAAATGATAAAAATGAAGACTACTTAAGTGAGTAGAAATGATAAAAATTAAGGCTTTTTAAGTGAGTAGAAATGATAAAAATGAAGGCTACTTAAGTGAGTAGAAATAATAGAGATGAAGGCTACTTAAGTGAGTAGAAATGATAAAAATGAAGGCTACTTAAGTGAGTAGAAATAATAGAGATGAGGGCTACTTAAGTGAGAAGAAATGATAAAAATGAAGGCTACTTAAGTGAGTAGAAATTGATAGAAGATGAAGGCCTACTTAAGTGAGTAGAAATTATAGAGATGAGGGCTACTTAATTGAGGAATAAGTATACTGACAAGGAAATGACTACTTAAAAGAATATAAAATATAGTGACAAGAACTACTTAAGTGAGTATTAAATATACTGACAAAGGCTACTTGAGTGAGTAAAAATATTGTGACAAAGACTACTTAAAGCGTGTGGTCGTCATGCATGTTCGAATTTCATGTAAATAAACAATGTATTTTACATTCGTTGTATACGTCGCTATGAGTCCCATATCGAACAGGATGCGGTGCGACGACCACCGCCCTTTAAGGGATTCTTGTTTTTTAAAACAGTTATAATGCTTTCAACTCTAATCTAAGTATACCTTTTTTGTATCACAGAGGATTGTGGAATGGACCGGGTGTGTGGAGAAAACTGATGCATCTTGGGATGTCTAAGTAGATGATCGACATCTCTCTACATTTTCTTGGATTACGCCTTCAGGAGTACAGATAAAAC